TTTCTTTCTTTCTTTCTTTCTTTCTTTCTTTCTTTCTTTCTTTCTTTCTTTCTTTTGTGGAACCAGGGATTGAACTCAGGCCCTTGTGCTTGCCAGCAATGGGGAGGCTGAAGCAGGAGGATCCTTGTGAGCTTGGACCAGCTTGGGCTATTGAGCTCAAGGGCAGTCTGATCTACATAGCGAGACTCTCTCTCTCTCTCTCTCTCTCTCTCTCTCTCTCTCTCACACACACACACACGCGTGCGCGCGTGCACACACACACACACACGAGTGGACAGCATGAGAAGATGCTCTAACCCACAGTCAGATTGATCTGCAACAGTCAGTCAGGAAAATGAAAATCAATACTGCTAGGAAGTCACACTTCAGGTTGCCTGTAGCACCAGCTGGCCAAATCTGGAATTCTGGGCTCCATCCCTGGCACTGCAGCGCAACATAAAACAGAACTCCATTCATACCCAACAAGATGGCCACCATAAAAAGACAGACGCTAGCAAGTGTGGGCAGAGATGTGGCGTCACTAGAGTTACATGCTGCCGTGGGAGTGCTGCATGCTGCAGCTGCTTTGAAAACATAGTTTGGCAACAGCTCAAAAATGTCAGACTTGGAGTTTCCATCTGACCATAGCTGTACGGTTCTCGGGTGATGGATGGGTACATGAAGCGTGCTGCTGTGGCGCTGCAAAATCGATGAATTACCATGTACTTAAATAAGTGAATTAACTGGGTGCGGTGGTCCATGTCTGTAAAAGGTGCAGCTCTTTGGGAAGCTGAGGCAGGAGGCCTAAAAAAGTTTTGTCCTGAGCCGGGTGCGGTGGTGCATGCCTGTAATCCCAGCACTTGGGAGGCTGAGGCAGGAGGATTATAGGGGGTTTGAGCCCAGCCTGGCTACGTGTGAGGCCCTGTCTCAAAAAAAAAAAAAAAAAAATCTGCCCCCCCAAATATCTATCTGTCGGGCCGGGGAGATGGCTCAGTGGAATAAGCGCTTCCCTAGCAAGCGCAAAAGCCTGAGTTCAATCCCCGGTTCCACCAAAAAACCCCACAACTATCTCTGTCTCTGTCTCTGTCTCTGTCTCTATCTCTATCTCTATCTCTATCTCTAT